TTAATTTTTTAATAAAGTAACAATCGATTATTTGAAAATAAAAAAATCTACGGAGAAAATTATCATTAAACAAATATTGCGGAAACGAGAAACCAAAAATTTTAATGCGCGATTAACATTGTTTGTGCTATTGCAATGTAAACACCAACGAAACAGCGGTTTGAAATGCTATTTTTACCTATTTTAAAGGTACAGTTTATTTGTGAAATTTATAAATCGGTTAGTACTAATGAACTTTCTTTGTTTTCTTTTTTTTAGTCGTCTGGTTAGTGCGGGAGCAGCACATGTTAATTATGACAAGAAATATAATTTAAAACATTTATGTGAAAGACGAAACATTGAAAGTACTCCCATCAACATGTTCAGAAACAGTCAATTATTATTGCATGCTATTAACATGACAGTAAAATTACAAAATGAAGAACAAGAAGTAATTGAGCAACTTTTTTTTGTTTTTTACTTTTATCAAAATAAAATAATTTTTTGTCAAATATCTGGACTGTACAATAAAACAGACAATAATCGATGAATCATCTGCTTGGTTGATGGTTAAGATACATTCATAGAACAAAAGAATTCAATGTAATGTAAATAGTAATACTTATTAACCCTAATTTAGCAACAACTACAGCCGGCAGAGGCAATAAAATTTCTAAATTTTTTTTCTTCAGGTTCGGCTTCAACGATAACGCAGTAATCTTTCATCAGATTGAGCATATTTTTTGTGCACTCATTCTTTGAATTTTTTTAGCGCAATCCTAATGGGACCCTATTGTTGAACTTTTGTGATCATCCAAAAATACCGCACCTGTTGACTGACGGTATATCGACAAGCAGAAATTATTGTTAAAATTATTTATAACATTAGCCTTGTTGTAGTTTATACTACAATAGTATAATTAAATATAATTAATTAACGAATTATTAAAATTGGTAAATTTTTACTGTAAATAGGTGAAAGGTAACAATTACCTCTCACAACAAAGAATTTCTCTTAATTAAAGACCTTTCTCTTTTTTTGAAATTTTTTAGGAGCAATCTAGACCTTTTTTCTTCTACAAAACGATAATGTATGAAATTTCATAAATAAAACAAAAAAACATTTATTTCTTCATTGACTAACAATCTCAAGAGACCATTCACTTTTCTTTCCTTTTTTTCCAAGTTTCCATTCGCTTCGCTTATTGGTTTAGGTAAACTGTTCCTTCGTGTGATAGAAATTTTATTCACCTCTATCTGTCGGTAATTTTTCTATAGTTCTCTCGATAATTTATTGATCGCTGATTAGTTTTATTTTATAGTTTGTGTTTCCCGTTATTAACAGTATCAGTCTTTGGGAGCTGTATTAAAATAAGTTAATTTTTTTACTCTAGTCATAAATACAATAAGGAATTGCAACCTGAATGGCGGGGACCGTAGGCATATCAATACAGTAGGTTGATTATTAGGAGCTTACAGTAAGAAAGATAAGAACGGTCTGGTATAACCGACAAAAGAATTATACTTTAACCTAGATACTGTAAGTGGAGAGATAAGTTCTACTACAAGCCTTTTTTTGGTTTATCTTGTCTGTTTTTTAAACTGCTACAAAACTTTCAATTAATTCTGTTTTAGATAACAGGTTAAACGCGAATAACATGGTGTAATTTTCCTTCTTTTCAGTTTTATTTTAACTAATAAAGTTTTAAAGTTTTAGGGGTAACAAGGCGAAGAATTTGTTAAATATGTTGTTAAATTTTATATTGAAAAAAGAAACTGAAAAATCAATAGGGATCACTTTTGTAATATTTGTAGACAGCTGAAGAATGTAGATCAGTTGCCAAGAATCTTTTTTTAGCACTATGTCAATTACTGAACGATTTTTAACAGATAAGGTTACTGTAACCAAGCTTAAAAACTGCTAATGCTCAATTTTTTTGTTGAGATACTATTTACTAAAAAGAAGTATTTTAGTCAAACAGAAAGAATCTTTTGATATGACTTTTCAATAAATATTTTAAATGTGATTAGCACAGAATATATTAATTCTCTTCGTCAATTTCTCTTGCTTTTTATAATCAGAGCGACCTGAGTGGCTTTACTTTAGCGCAGTTACGTGGAAGAAGATTAGAACTGTTTGTGCTGGAAAATCATAGTTTTGATCTATTAAATACAACACTTGTAAAAGTTGTACAAACTATTAGCTGTAAGCTGTATGATTGCAATAATAAAAAGAAACAAAAAGCAAATAGAGAGAAAGGAAATAAATATAATATATTTTTCGTACTCTTCCGCATCAGTAAATAAACTACAGAAATACAACTGGCGTGTAACCTTATCATAAAAAAAACAAAAAAGTGGTTATTTGCTTTAGTACTTCTATCGTCTTGGCTGCTAATCGGTTGTGCCTTTATTTTTAACTCTGTTATGAAGCCACTAGTAATTGGTGTGGTTATTTTGACAGTCTTAAGTCTCTCAGCAGAAGCGTTTCAAACAGAAACGTGTAAGTTTACTCTAAGTTTACTCTACTTCAAAATTTACCACTTGCAATCAAAAAAGAATGAAAAACTATAATAGTCGATCTTTCTAAACACAATGATCAAATTTTTTTTGTTTTGTTAAATATTAGGTTTAATTCTCTTTATCACATTTATTATTGCTGCTGATGTCTATAAATAACTAATATAAATGGTATATGGCAGTTTAGAAAGATGTTAAACAGTAAAATAACGCCAAAGAAACTTTTTGTGTGACCAAAATAAATTTATTTATTTATGTCTTACTGCTAATTAGCATTTTATTCTACTTCAATAATATTTTTAACCTTTTATCGGTCTTGGTCTTAAATTACCGTTTGATGACAGTATAGCATAGGTACTGAATAATTGCCAGCAAGTTTGTGCTATACGAAAGACAGCTTACCAGCTGATTAGTTCTGTATGACTTACAGCAACAGATTCTAGTTAGGTTGCTTTTCAAAGGTAGAAGCAGAGGTAATAAGAAGAAAAAAGGCAGAACAGTGCAAGAAATGAAGTTGAAGTGTCAAGAAATGCACATTTAAGTTTCTAAATTATAAAACAGCATTCTAATAAATTGCCTTCTAAATTACGTTATGAAGGAAATTAGAACAAATTTTCTTTATTGCATTAATATTAATTTATCCAAAAAATGAATCTATTAGCTTTAGTAAACTTAGTATAGAAACTGCTGAATTTTCAAAGAGATCATTTGTCATAAATAACTGCTTTGATTAAGTTTCAAAAAACTGGTTTAAATTGTCATTAACCAAGGCACCTTGTCTTTTTTTTTTTCGCTAACAAATTTTTTAATCTCTTATAAAAAGGCTTTATTTTCGCGCTTGAATAAGAAAATAAAAATGAATACAGAAACTTGTAGACACGTTATATTTTCTAAGATCAGTTTCACTTCTACAGAGTTATGTGATAAAATGCTGATGACCGGTTCAGAGCATCTGAATTTTTGAAATTTCTGTCAGAAGAGGTTTTCCTAAAATGCTCTGCTCTGACCTAAGTGACGGATGAGATTAAAAATCAAAGAATATTATTATTTCTGCTTTTTTTTTCGTTTTTTTAGCTTTTTTTGACATTTTCTTGGGTAACTAAAATACTAAGGTTTAATCAGATTCATAATAACTGTATTGTTTGTCAAGCGGGTGGAGCAAAACAAAAATTTAGACTCGAAAAATTGCACTGAATATAATTGTCGAACACTAATAGTCATTGACATTACTGTTCTTAGCTCTTATTAAAAAGTTAGCTACTGGTAATTAAGCATTTGCATGAGCTACCAGTAGTCTTTTTAATTGTTCACAAAAATGGTTCTGCATTTAACAAAGGTGGACTGTCATGAACAACATTGCCAAAATGACTCAGAACGTACAGTTGCGAGTTACATATAAAGCATCTTCAACCAAATATGTCAGCAATAACTCTTTGTCAAAATTATTTCAAACCAAACCTGGCACAAAAAACATAAAAATGGTTATATCTTAATTAGTTTTTGTTTGTTTTTTTTTTATTTAGTTTTCTTCTTAAACATTTATTTACGTTTCTAATTGCTTATCAGTGGAATGTTTCACTGATCAAGAAAAAAAAATAAAAAAGATGCTGTCTTTTCGAAAAAAAAAATTTTTTTTTTTTTTTTTTTTTTTTTTTTT